TCATTTAACCCATTATTTGATATAGTTGCATAATTATTTGGATTATTTTTAATTTTAGATTTGACAAAAATATAAGCACCTGATAAATGTTTCCACCCACTTATGTTAGTTTCGAGCGTATACTGTTCAAGTTCTTTCACATTGATATTACTTTCTCTTATTTCATTGTAAGTATAACTTTTTGTTGATTCATCGATTACAGGCATTTCATCAATACGCCATAAACTGTCCACAACGTTTTCCATTTATTTAAATAAAAAGAAGCCTTTTAGGAAACCTCAGCCTTCAGCAGATTTTTAATAATTTCCTTTGATTTTTTAGTTAATCGATTCGCCCTGCCAGTCTCAGCCTTTTTCAATCCGTCGCCTCGTAAATGTTCATTCGTCGATTTTTCTTTCATTTTGTTTAGAATAGGATTTATAATTTCTTCTTTATAAGTAGAAAACGGCGGTGATTTTACGTATGTAGACGCTATATTTTTAAGCCCTGAAGTCACACCTTGAATGATATCCTCTTTATTTTTTTTCAAAAAGGGTTTAATATATTACGATATAAAAAGCCTAATGCAGGTATAGCAAATTTTTTTATAGATTGAAAAATATTTCCACCTCTAATATCTCTGTGATATTTAAGACCAAACCCATATTGTTTCGGAAATAATTGTTTTCTATGAACGACAAGTACCATTTATTCTACAAGAAAGACAGGCATGGCCTGCCCGGAGTCGAAGACGAAGACGAAGACGAAGACGAAGACGAAGACGAAGACGAAGACGAAGACTTACTGAATATCTAGAACAAAATTTAAGCACTCTCCATTAAAATTTATCAATTGATTTAGCTGATTTGTAACGGAAATGCGAATATTAAATATATAATCCGTACGATTAATTGGTAAATATTTCGGATGCGTTGGTTCAATATTAATTAAAGATCTAGGTGAAATCTTTGGAGTAGAGTAAAAGCGTATATAACATCACTTTTGAGATTATTTTGATAACTAGATGAAACTAGGGAGCAGTGAATCAAGATCTGATCAATATCTTTGGTGATATTACCAATTTTTGTTGCATAGTTTATTCCTTCTTTATATATATTTTTTATCAAATCCTAAAAGCTCATATATCTTACCGTGGGAAAAGTGAATTTCATAATCTATGTTGCGTATAATTAGCATAAAACGATTAGTTGCATAATTTACATTAAAATAAAACGTTCCAAAATATTCTTGGATATAATTATTTAATTCATTTTCATTGTACAGACCGTTTGGTAATTTTAATATTTTCCACTCCGATTCATTTCTATCGTCTTCCTTCTTGATTTCGTTATTTTTGAGTTCGGCTGCGAAGTCGTTTTTACCAGACTTGTATTTTATTTCGTTATTTTTATACTCTTCGGTAATGTTATCCCAACTATACCAGAGACTTGCTGTTTTTAAAGCAATTTCACCTTTRAATCCAGATAAATTAATAGGATTTTCAGAATAACTTATTTCAAAATCATTTTTTTTAGATCTAATGTGTATTAGGCTCATTTATTCAGTTTAAAAAAGCAAGTTGCGTCGAGGAAACCCTTTTGTGATCTGATTTTTTATGAGTTTCAGATTTAACAATTTATCAAGTATTTCTACGCATTCATTGTATACATCAATTGAATCATTTCCAGCATTTTTTGACGCAATTAATAGATTAAGACGTTCTACCATTTCATTCGGATCTGAAAAAATACCGCTTCCTGTTTGATGACTGCTACTATGCGAAGCACTAGTCAAAGACGTATCCTTTTCATAGAAAGGAATTTTTCGAATATCTCCTAAAACACTTTTATATTTTTTCAACTGTGAATACACATATTGTAAATTATCAATTTTTTCTTGTTCTTGTGATTTCTTTGCGTTTGTAATGTGTGCATTTAATGATTTTAATTTAGTTGATATTTCGGGTACCGTTGTATCAATTTTTTTATTTCGATTTCTAATGTCTAACGATAATAAATGTGAAGGTTTTTCAAATTTAAATTATTTTTCAATAATATCAAAATTTAAATCTTTATTCGGATCTAAACTTATTGAGGTGGACTCTGAAGCTGATTTTGGTAATGGTAATAAATGATCCGATTCGCTTACCTCATCGCCTTCCGCATTCTTTGAAACATTTTTTTCTTCGGCCTGCGGAACCGTAGTTCCTTTCAGGGACGCTTTGCCTCTGGACTGGGTCTGCCAGTCTTCGTCTTCGAATTCGGGATCACAAAAGAGTGTGTTACTTCCTTAGTCACAATATAAAGATATTGATTTTAGAGGTTTTATACAAACTTTGAGTATACTTACTCAATTTTTGTATAAAACTAGTACGTAATGCAAACTATAAAATACCTGGATATTCAAATTACGCGGGGCATTCCAATATGGCGCTTAGTTACACACCCGATCACTAGAGGCGCAATCGGCATAATTTGTTTCCTTAAATTAACACGGCGCTGTCGCTTCTTTATGTATTTCAGTGTTGCCAACCCTACGGATTTATCCGTAGATCTACGGATTTTGAATGCGATCTCCGATTCTCCGATTTAACTAGAAATTCTACGGATTTTCTGAACTTTTCAGTTTAATAAAAATAAAACAGACTTCATATAAAAAAAATATTCCAACAAAGCTGAAAGTAAAATTAAACGATTCTTCTCCTTGCTTGTTAGTTTTATTTGTATTTTACTTAAAATATATTAAGAGTTATTTGTTCTTTTGCTATTTTATAACAATTATATTTTTATTTCACTTTTGTACTTAAAACTGTTTTTTTATTAATCTAAAATAAATGTTTACTTTTGTTGTATAATTTTTTAATTGGGCTTTTATTGGGTTAGTGTCGATCACGATCGTAAAATAGACAGGTCTGGAAACTCCATTCATAAATACGTTTGAAAATTGAATTATTTTTTCTGATTCGCAGGTGGTTATGGAGGGCAACTATACCCGTGGCGCCTTCACGTGGTGATTTTATTAATTCACTGTTTGACAGCATTTTGGCAGCTAACCACAAATTTAAAAAGCAAATTTTTCTCTATTTCCAACTTTTCTAAATATTTTAGCCGCTTGTGCACAGTTTTTCGGTGTTTTAGGATGGTTTTCATTCATTTATACTTCATGTTTTCTTGACTAATATCTTGTTTTCTTTCGTTCTGTTTAACTTGATTTCTTATCTAAATTAAATATTAAAAAAAATTTTTGGTTTTGAGTTTGTCGTTCAATGTTTTTGGCAATCAAAAAGGTAAATAATATATTTGGTTTTTATATCTTGTTTACACAAAAACACTTCTGCAGATGCCCAGAATTTGTGCTGTTTTCCATTGAACGACTAAATGAAGTAGTAAACAATTGTGTTTTTTTTTGTGTGAAAGAAAAATTGGACCTAAGGGCAAGGGATGAAACTCTAAATACTGTACTGCAAAGAAAAGACAGAAGCTGTCAATTACATTTTGAGAAAAAAGATACAAAATTAGAGAGAAAACATTAAAACATTTAACATTGAAGCATTTAATCGACTAGGGTTTTGAGTTTTGACATATTTGTAGTCTAAAAAGTAATATTTTGTCTTTAAAGTCCTATAGATAAATGAGTCCACAAATAAAAAATTATTTATTTCTTTACTCTGTTTACAAAGTGCCCGCTCACCACAAAAATAGATCCTGAAATTGTCTTTATTGTGACTGTGGTTTTCTTTATTATTCAAAAAATCTTGCTGTACACGAAGTGGGTCCCGACCATCGTGTTTCTGACCAAGTAAAAAACAAATCTTGGAAGATTGTCTTTACAAAATCCTTCTACATTGTACATTTTGCACCAACCTTGATCGCTACATTATTAGTTAGACTTGGATAACTAAAAAATAACAAGTATAAAAGTTACTTACTATAACATTATTTATTTGTTGTTTTATTTCTTCAATAACACTTCTTTTCCACGTCTTTTTTAAAAGTCTTGCATTATTATCATGTAGGTAGCATCTTGTGTAAAGATCAATAACAGCAATGTGTTCTACTCTTTTTTTCTACTAGATGGTAAGGTGGCAATTAATAAATGCTGTGGATTGACTTGATAGCATGACCGTTATTCTAAAAGGTGCAGATTTGTTTAAAAGTTAAAGGATATCATCAAGTGTAAAACCAAACCAAAAACCTCCTCGAGGACTAAATAAATGAAACGGCACTTAGCTGCCATTTTTATTAAACATATTGTATTTTATATGTGGCGCTTATTAAGTTGTTTTTTGCACATTTTTTTAACAATTTTGACAAGCCCACAGTAACCTAACAAATTATGACAAGCGCTAATTTAATATTTGACATTATTTACGCACGGAGACGTCATTTTTCGTTCATAAATACGCAGTAATGGCGTTTATGTGAGGATCATTTTGAACTCCGCGATTTTGTGAATGAGAGGAAAGATAGATTAAATCCAAATGTAATTCCCAAGCCCTGTGTTTTGGCTTCACAAGAGAAGTTTGTTGACATTTCACATTTCTTTCTGTGGCAGATGATAGTTTTGTAGAAAATTCTTGCAGAAAAGGTTTTATTTTGTTTTACGTCTGGGGCAGACAGGCAAAATATGCCAACACTGACTGATTTTATTGTTATGTAATAATAAGTTAATAATTTAATTTTCAGAGAAATTTGATTTGTTGTATTATTTTGTTATTGATAGTTTACAATAAAAAAGTTTGACAAAAAATTTGTTTTATTACTTTGAAACAATTTAATAATTTCAAGTTTCATTTCAAATTTTGTTTAAAATGATTTTTTTTTAATTTTCATTTTAAACAAAATTTGAAATTAAACTTGCAAGAATTAATTGAAAATGAAGGGGGTCTATTTAAATGTCGCGCCATTCCGTGTTAGTAACGCACTTGACCACTAGAGGCTCGTGTTGCCAGTGATTTTCTAGGGAGATTTCATTTCTTATTCTCTCTGTTCTGTGGTAATTAACGTAGTATCCGATAGAGGCACCACGGGTATAGTTGCCCTCAAAACCTACTGACATCCAAATTTTTTAATTCAATTTTGAAACACGAGTTTCCAGACCTGTCTATTTTACGATCGTGGTGTCGATAAACTAAATTAGATTGAATTATTTAGATTCCTTTACGGATTTAAAATTGCCGCCTACGGAATTCTTCGGATTTTTTAAGTAACTTCTACCAAATCTTGTTGCTGCAAGGTTGGCAACACTGATTTATCTGTTCTGTTGTTCTGTGGCAGTCAGTTACCCACGTGGTCGCGGCCGCTTGTTTTTGCTGTTTTTTTGCTGGTAATGGCCTTATCAGAGAAGTTATTTTCAACGTTAAATGGTACATTTCGGTAAGTACCTTGAAACAAAGCAGTGCATCGAGTTAACAATATTCTGTATTTGTAGAAAACAGCGAAAAAAAYTGGYCGTCGCAGTTTGGGAAAGTGTTCTCACCATTAAAATTGATGAGCATGGGATGGCTTCACCAGCGCAAGAAGTCAATCTTGATGTCCCCAAAAAATCGGGAGTTATACACATGGAATATATCCATATTGAAGATACGCTAGAAAAAAATCGATACATTCGATTTGGTGATATCCACCGAATTAGCAATCCGGAAACGACCAGCATAATGTTGGAGTTGGAATGCGGTAAAAAGGTCAAACTAATATTTGGAACCGCAGAGGCGAAAGAAGATTTCTATGAAGCAATTCCTGTCGTTAGGTAAAATCATTATCAACAGTTACTAATTTTTTACAAGTGGCCAGAAAGAAAAATATACAGTTAGAGACAAAATACTTTGGTCGTCACTTTTCTAACACTTTAATGTAATTCAAGCTTTAACGTTAAAATTAATGACAATTTCAAATTAATGACAGCTATTATATTTTCCTATCAAAAATATGTACCACATACAACTTGTCAACTATGATGACAGTAGCTAAAAATAAGGTTAACAATCTTAAAGCATGCTTTACAATTTAATGTCACTCAAGTGACATTGACGACCAAAGTATTTTGTCTCTAACTGTACATAAACTTTGTATGAAAAAGAATTTATGAAATTTTTTATGTATAATTCTTTATGTGCGCGCTTGTTTTTTTACAGATGAAATTATTTTTTCCACTACTAGCTGTGAAGTTGACAATTATTGCGTCTCCTAGCCAACTAAGAAGTTGAATTTCTCTATTCAAATGTTTTGAGATTCTAGGGATAGTTGTTTAACAAAAACTTGTGCAACGTAATTTTGTATACCCAGGAGATTGTCTTTAACGTATTCGCTGCTTGAAATTACCTAACACGATAAAATTATTTGAATAAAAATGCCATTATTTTAAAATTCGCGCTCAATCAATAAATGACAGATGAGTGATGGATGACATCCCGTAACTACAACATGGCGGAATGCGGGAGCCCGAGTTTGGTTATGTTAAAAGACCATCGAAACAACAGAACTTTATTTAAACAAGTATTAATACAATGAACATAAATTATTGTTTCCCAAAGTTATAATTACGAGTAATTGTGCAATTGTGGCAAGTCATAGTGATTGTTGCACCCGATGTGTTAGTTAGAGCTGTTGTTGGTAAATTGGTAACCGTATTATGTAGAGTACTGGTTTCATTGATGTTAATAGATGAAGATGAGGTTGATGGAAATGCAGCCGATGAAGGTGAACGCTGTGACTCGACTGATAAATCCACAGAAGTTGAAGATGTAGAAGGCCCTTGGAGCATATCTGCGAGTGACCTTTTGAGTACCAGTGACTCCTCAATGTAACCTTCTGCTACCGTTGCAGATTTCCAACCCCCATGTTGTTTTAGTTGTAGTGTGTTACCACCACTAGCCGCTAAAATAGTGGCAGAAGTTCTTCGAAAGCTATGACTAGTGAAGGGGCAGTAGTTCGTCGTTTAACTGCTCTGCAGCTTCCCGCATTTCAGGCAGTGTATAATTAATTTCTAACATATTATCCTTATTCAAAAAAAACACTCAAACACGACAATGACAAACGTGTGGAAATAAGTTTTATTAGTGGAAATGTCAATCTGCATCAGACTACAAAATAGTACTAAAAAATAGTATATACACCACGGTGGCGAAGACATTTATAGGCCTCGCACCTTATTCCGCTCGGGGCGAAGCCCCTCGCGTAATAATCTTGGTGCTCGGTCAATAATAATAGTCTTCGCCACCTTGGTGTATAATGTACTATTTTACTGTTTTTTTTTCAGCTCCGATTCTGGAAATTCCGAGTAATCATAAATTTATTTTGTTACTTACTTGATATAATTAATGTGTAAATTATAATATATTTTTTTTAATACACTGTTGAAAACCAAATTTGTTTGGATATATATATACAGGGGCAAAAAAGCGAATTTTAAGTGTTTTCAAAGAGGAATTTGTTTGGCCGAAATCTTATTCATATGTGTGCTGAAGTGGGCCAATAGAAAAATAGGGCAAAATCTTTGAAAAATGTTAATTTTAAAATATACCTTAAAAACGACGGTGTTCTCACGATTTTTTTCTGCTTTTCTGTTCACCCTTGAAAATCGGGGTGTTCCTTAAAATGTAGCTGTGTGCTGAAGGGGCCGTTATACTACTGACGTATCCACAACTTACGCATCAGCCATTTCTTGCCATAGCTTGTCTCCTTTTATTCTGTCGAAATAATTGTTTTCCACGATATAATCAACGATTTTCTTTTCTTCATCTTGGGAATAAAGGGTCATGTTTGTAGGCTAGGTTTCTAAAATTGGGCAATTCAGACGTTACTTGGAATAAATGTGATTGAAACTAGCCTGCAGCAAATCCCAGTGTATGATTTTATGTTCAACTCAAACACCTGTAACAATTTACGCCCAAAACGTAATTTGCCGCTTTTTTGCACTTTAGAAGCACTGCCAATATTAAAATACAAAATAATAAGGTTGGCCATCTTGGATTAAATAGCGGCCTCTGTTGCAAACTAGCGAAAAATTTAGTTGAGAGAATAGAGAAATCTACAGGGTGTGGCTAAACAGCTGGCCTTCAGTTTGTTGATTATTTTTGTCAGTTGATGAAACACAATAATAACTGCGATGGCAGTAGTCTGTCAGCTGCAGCGTCGTGCTGTAGACGATGGCTTCGTAGTTTTGTATTAAAAAAGCCTACAATTTAGTAAAATTTCGACTTTGTTCTGTGAAAGGTGTAGACCAAAATGGATTACAAAAGCGTCGTTTATAACGCCGCTAGAGACGGAAATCTAAGCAGGCTTAAGGTGAGTCCTTTTTCGAATATTTGTGTACAGGAGGCATAATGTAGGGCGATTGAAATGTCAAAAACAAAAGCGTATCGTTAATTCCCAGGTGTCTTATCTCTTATGATGAAACATCATTGTTTTGTTGTTGTAATTGGTAATTCATGATCATGACATAACCGAATCATTTTCGAAATTGCAATTTTTTTAAATGCACATAATATGGTTTCGAAAATTATAATGTCATTGTTGTCACATATGACACATGTCAAAAAATTGTTTTATTCTCATTGTGAAAGAAAAGTGTAAACCAGTGAGTCACAAGATTAATTTCTTCAGGATTCAGATTTTGGCACAGTTCCAGACCCAAAAGTATGCACTTAAAATTAGTATATTTATTTATTTATCATTGTTGAACATCAAATTGTGTTTAATTTGCATTCCTGGGCCAAGTTTTTGTATTGTTGTGATTGCTAAATGATTGTCAACGGTGATCTGTGCCCCAGAATCCAGAATAGCGAATGATTTTTTATCAAGTTGGTGTTAACCCAATAACCAATTTTAAGATACTCATTTTTAACACATTTTGACGTTCGTTTAATGTGCGAATTTTGTTTGAGCAATATTAAAATAAATTTTACAGTAGCCTATTTCACCAAGTTTTCGGGTTATTCTAAATTTAACATATATCCAGCTGAGATGAAAAACTGCGTGTTGTCAATTTTATCTTCTCTTTGTGAGGAAGAACTAAAGAAATACCTAACTTAATTTAGCTTCTTTTATAATTGTCTTTGTTTTACAAGTGGGGCTAAATGAGTCTTACTGCTAATGAGAACAATAGATTTTAATTGACTTACAAAGTAGACACGTTAATATAGAGTAGAACAAATTGCACAATAAATACTGTTGATTTTGACGATTTCTGAATTAGGTATTGATTATTATAATTAGCTTGAAAAAATGCATGTTTATCAAAGACAATTTAAATCTGAGATAACCCTGAATTTGAGATAATTTAAATAAACAATATTTCCAAGAAGATTTCTAGAAAATCACAGAGCTTTGTTCTGATATGCTAGGAACAGCAAAAAGTCCTATTAAGCAAACGTAGAAATTTAGAACGATGTATGCGGGAGATCAAAAGTCATAATGACAAATGGGAAATGTAAAAATAATTTGTATGTAAATTATGACAAAAAACCGTGATTTGTACCCATAAACACCAACAACATCTCATTTTAAGGTGTTTTGAGACGTTTCATAGAAGAACTCAACTTGCTGGGCCAATTAAAATACCAATAGGTATTTTAATTTGTATAAAAAAAAATTTTGACATTTAGTTAACATACAAACTACTATGCGACATACGTCCTGTATTGTTATTCATAGACTCTTAAACTATTTATTTTTTTCGTCGCGAAATGTATTTTTGATTTTGATTAGATAGAAATTAGGTTGCACGTCATTTGTGTATTTGTGGAAAATTCATAAACAAGCTAATTTTACAAACTGTAACAATAAATTACAATATTTTATACTGGACGATCTAAATAAGTTCATCAAGTTATAATTAAATTGGAATTTCCGTACAAAACAAACAAAAATTATATTAACAATTAGATTTTAATTGTTTTTAATCCACGAGGTGGAATAATGGTAACACGATGACGAGTTGAATACAACTTTAAGCAGCTTTAAATCTGTTCATAATAATCTGACGTTTCGTATTGAGAAATCCCAACAGTTGTCAAAACTTCTTTACACAGGAGAAAAACCGTAAATTTTGACAGTGTCGAAGAATAAAAAAATATCTTGGTTCATAATAATTATGTAGTTTTTTTTTTAACAGAAAACTTAAATCATACCTTTATCTACTATAATGCAGTTTAAATATTTTACTCGTAGGTATTATCAGTAAGGAATTGATATCTATTTGTAAAATTTCTTGAATCGTGAAGGTGTTGTTATAAAGTATCCTTAAACAGTGTCTCTCGTGGTGTCATATTTACCTTTGTTTTTTCTTAATATTGGAACACATTCTGGAAAAGTTTCATTCATTTTTTGTTATAAACGGTATTTTATTTTGATGACGTAGATGATATAAAAATGTACAATCTGTGTGAATTTACTTCTTTGAGACATTTTTTACGTCATGCAGTTTATAAAGAAAATTCGGGAAGTAAAATTGAGACCTTCGAAAATTCGTACGTAATCAATTTAATTGCAACAGAATCTAGTTTTACCTAAACACTAATTACAGGTTTCTAAATTCTATTAATTTTAAGCGAGTAAAAAAATGCTTTGTGGCATTTGGTGCTTTGCTAATAGTGTAGGTACCTAGTGCAGGTCAAAAGTTCACATATGTATATCACTAATTTCTCGAATTCGAAAAAATGGACTTTCAATCCAATTTGATTTTGATCTATCTTTTAAAATATTTGATGCAAAATTTTGTTTAATTTATGATTGATCGGCGATTAGTCATGGAACGAGGAACTACCTGTTTTCGTTACGTAACAGTCGGACTTATTTCCTGTTGGCAAAGCAATAACCTGTGAGAGCAAGCATTCCTCTTCCGAAACTTACACAGAACTTGAATTTTGTGTGACTTTCAATTTTGGAGAAATTTCGTCTTTTCGCGAGTTTGAGTTTTTTGTGTAAGTGAAACGTACTTTCGACAATTTTTGGATCGTGCAATGTGTAGTTTATTTCGGGATAAGTACCAAAGAAGTTGATTGAACTTTGTGGACACAAGGGAAAAAATTCTTTAATGCAAATGAGTGCGGTAAGCTATTAATAATCAAGGAATTAAAAACCGATCGACTTGTTATTTATAGGTATAGTAATTATTTTGCATAATGCAATTATGGTCATTTTGCACTTTGGACTCATGGTATGATCATACTGGATTATTGTAACTTGTAAAAAATTGCACCATTGTTTATGTTTATTCAGGGAACGGCACATTTACATTCTTGTCAAGAAAAAATTTTGTTCTTTGGCAGTCGAAAATTCTAGCAAACGCAATATCGTAACTAAACAACTTTCACACAGTTCAGATCGAATTCAGACTAGGTATAAGTATTACAAAATACCAGTAACAATATTATACATGTCCTGGAAAGCGTCTCTCACTCTTCAAAAAAACGTTGAACTAGAATTCTCTTTTTCTAAAGACCTGTCAACGATATTTCAGTAAAACTTGTGTTTAATAATGCTCGCATTTAAAACTCTTCGTACAGTAAAATGAGGTTATTGTTATGGTAATTGACCTCAACTCATTGTTTTAAAACTAATACCGGATTAAGTGAAAGTGATTATGTAAAACGCGTACATATTAAATGAAGACTTGGAACGGAATCGGCTATACAGGTGACATTTAAAAAAAAAATGTTTTTGAGGTAAGAATTTGTAGAGCAAGCTGGAGCATATAACAGAGTAACATACTATTATTACCAACACAATTTTAACAAATTACCCAACTATGTGATCGATTGTTTTACGCTCGCCGGATGAAATATTTGCGAAATGTTTTTATCATTGTTTGTTCGATGCGATAAATCTGTGAAATACATAAATTAATAGATTTCCTATAATAAAACACTCAGATTCTCATGCAAAATATTTTGGTCCTCAATATTATTCTTTTATGTCAGAAATTTTGCAATTTACCCTTTGTAATTGATTTTTCTGTCTCAAAAAGTCAAAAATAGTTTAAACGTCGATTGGCTTTCTATTATTGCTGACATGCCACGAATTTTAAATTATACAAAAATAAGTTTGTCAAAAAATGACATTGACGACCAAAATACAGTATACCAGGATTGCATTTACAAGAAAGATTTTTTTTATCTTTTATGTTGCGCCAAAACTGCAAAGGAGAAACATTTTTTGTTTCACCTGAAATGAGCAAATCTGTAATTAAAACTTCATTATTCTGATTCGGTGAAAAGAAAAGTTAATTTTTATTTATTTGACAACTATATGTCACTTTGTCAATTAATTTATTAATTAAATAATGATAGTTCTTGTTAAAAATGACTGTTTTTTATCTTAAAGCTGTTTCTTTGGGTTGCTATTTATCAAAATTATGTTTTTCATAAACCTTTTTGTTATTTAACTTGCGAAAACTGATTTGTCAAAGTGACATCATTGTCAAAAAAATAAAATGATGGGATTTAAAAAGCATTATTCCAAGTCCAAAATCAAGAGAAAAATGGACTTTTCTTTCTACTGAGTTAGAATAATAAAGTTTTAATTACAGATTTGCTCGTTTCAGGTAAAGCAAAAAATGTTTTTCCTTTGCAGTTTTGGCGTAAAATCAAAGATATTTTTTTTCCTCTTGTAAACTCAATTCAGGGACATACTGTATATTGCAAGCGACTGAATCTTTGACAATATTAAAATAAATATCTGACTTGGATATAATGGATCTTACTTTTGTGGCTCGAAACTTTGAATTTTCCTTGATGTGGCAAACCTGCATAAATTTCCGTAGTAACATAAAATAATGAAGCTAGTAACAATAATAATTACAGAGCATTAAATTTATAGTCGTTGCCAACATAGTAAAACAGCTTGGCCAAGGTGTATGATTTTTGAATAATTGTGTAGTTACAGATAAGGTATCATGAAGAGATTAAACATCAAGACCTTCCGGTTTTTCGTGTATTTTGTAACATTTTTCTTTATGTTACTTGATACTTTCGTCACGTGTTTTTGTTTTCACACCACTGTATGACTTTAAATAAGAGCTTTTTTGAAACTCAAACCAAATGTTTACAACTTTCGAAATTTCCTAAATCCCAAGCCAAATCCTTGAGGTTATTAACCTCCCTCTATTGAAATCTCTTAATAAAGTTGAATGATTCAACTGACGGAACTGTACAGCAACGTATTTTAAGGTTTTAAAAATTGAAAAACCACTTACCAAATATAGAATATCCTTGTTTCAATTAAGGATCAAAAATCATTTTATTAATTCCGGTTTTAAATAACACGACGAGACGAAAACATTTCAAGATCGTTCATTTTTTAGAAATAAACATCTTAGTTCTGCAAAGATGATTCATTAACGGATCTTCCCCGTCATAGCGGCATTTGGTTAACAAATGACTTTTAATTTACGTTATATCATAAGTGACCTTTGGCATTGACCTGAATTAGGTAATTTGAAAGTTTTCGATGTTAGTTTGAAATGCTGGTGTGACATACTTTCAATTGTGTGGCTAAAAAAAGTTACCTGTTGCCAAAAGATTTTTTAAGTGGAACTTCCACAAAAATGTAATGAGCAGTGCCGTGAAGTAATCCATCGATTTCTATTTTTACATTTGGCAATGAGGAATCGCGGAAAATAATAGCTGACTGCTTTTATTCTATTTTTAAGTGAAATTAAATTTATATTAGTTTTCGAATTATGTGGCATTATTTTTGTCCAACAAAACCGGTACATTTATTTGCCAACAGTTGCGAATAAAATTATTAAATTTACTGAAAAACGATTTAAACAGAAGACAGAAACTTTCAGTGTATGAATGTCGTTCAAAAATCTAAGAATAGGAATGCTAATGTATGCCAAATCACTTTTGGCAAGACTTCTCTACACGCTTTTGGTAATATTTGAAAAAAATTAGAATAAAAAATAAAATCATATGCTTGATTAGTCACAAGAAAGAAAACGAATATTTTTGACTAGTAAATAAGGATCAAAAAAATCGTATTTTACCAGTGCCAAAAATCTTTGAAATGATGCGAAAAATCTCACTTTTATACATCTCAGTTAGAAAATTAACTACACGTGCTGTTTTTCAATGTTATGTAAGCTATATATATCGCACAATTACATTTACGTTCCTAAGAGTTATTTACAAGAAAATGATGTTATCATATAAAAATAAAAAATTGTTTTTAATTTAAAGCGGACACTTGTAAATCCTGTTTTCTGCGAATGGGTTTCCCCTTTTATTTTGAACAAATTAGTGCTATTTCGTAACACTTTTAATTTTTTCACCTAGAATTATCATAACCTTGTTTATAAGAATCGATTCAGAAGAGTAAGAACTGACGAAGCATATTTGCGCAAAGGTGAATGCGATCATTTTTCTTCGAATTTTTAATGCCAATAACGAGTGTCGAGAGCAATAAAATCTTGTTTTTCTAAAAAATATTAGCAATCGATCAGTATGAGGTGTTATCACTGAAGGCGTCAGGTGATCTTGAAAATTTCTCTTTAAGGTATATTTTCCAAAAGCGGAAATACATTAGCATCACACCGAACATTTTATTGTTCGCTCGCGACCTTTATAGAAACATTTTATGTATATTGAGGAAGGTCCCGAGAAGTACATATTATTGTTTAGACTATTGTTTCATGCAATAAAAACAAGAAATTGCAAATACGCAATCTTTACATATTTTGACCTCTACTGATAAGGAAAAAGGAAACCAAAAACTGTCGAACACGAATTAATAATAACAATTAACAATTTTTCATAAATCATATTGTGACAATTGTGGGCATTTAATTTATTGTAGTCAGTGGCCTTGAAATCTAAATATAGTGAAAATGGTTTATTTTCCGCATATTTCACCGTAAGAAAATGAATAAGTCATTAACCATGTAGAGAATGCCACAGAGACAATAAATCTATTTTTGCTATTTATTTTTATAAAGGCACCACCCATACTTGTTTCTAAACAACAATTCAATATTTATATTAGTTTTGAAAATCAAACGCAACAAATTCTGGGAAAAAATTGACACTGATATTAAAACAATAACAAACAAAGTAAGGATTTTCATTATATTTATTTGAGGTCAAATGCGGTCAAAATATTTAAGTTCGTATCATCAAATACTTGTGAAAAAAGGAATATTTTAACATTTAGGAGGAGTTTTATTTAAACCATGCTGCGCCATCTTTTGATGGCTGACAGGAAAAGTACATGAGTGAAACACTGCCTTAATCAGCTTTGTTGCACTATTGCACAGCCTTGACCGTTGTTACATTATAAGCTTTTTGACTTAAAATATGTTGCAAGAAATAATACCAGTCTTAAAATAAACTGATTGTCCAAATCTGTTAGCCAATACAAAAATATCTTGGTTTATAATAATTATAGGTACTTTTATTTAATTTATTTTATTAGCTATACAAATAAATCTTATAATGCAGTTTAAATGTTTTATTCGGAGGTAGGTATATTAATAAGGTATTGATATTTGTAAAACTTTGTGAACGTAAAAATTATTATATGTTGTCATAAAGTAGTATCTTCAAACAGTGTCATATTTACCTTTGTTTTTTTAATATTTGTGGAACAACACATTTTGGGAAAGTTTAATTAATGTTTAGTTGAGTGCATCAAACTGGCAATTTTTATGCAAACTGTCATTTGTATTTTTTTTTGTAAATGTTGTTTTTGTTACTTTTGTGCTTTTAGATTTGAAGCTTTTGTGCACTGATTTTATGGGTCTTTAATAACTCACGACAGTGTTCATAACTTAAACAAAACATTCAAATTGTTGCACAAACAGTAAAGTAATGGAAGATTTAAATGCTATTAATTTAAGAATACGTGAATATTACATTATAAAAAAATCAATTTGCGTTTTTTTGCACTCAAGTGTACTTCATCCTTTTGGTAGTTTTGTATTTGCAATGTTATAATGAAGCACGGAATACATTTTTAGGTCATAATTTGACATACAAAATTAATTCATGAGTTACATAATGTGTATTGATATGCCTAATTAGGCTTTAATTGGGCATTTTATGCAAAATATGAGTATTTCAAGAATGAATTTGGGTCTAAGCAGGTCATTCCGACGTTATTGTTTTTCCAAATGAAGCCTTAAGCAATGCATTGATTATAGACGTTTTAAATTTCGCCCAGTCTTGTTTGTGGTTATTTGATTTTCTACATTCTTCGAAATCGATTTCGCAGTTTGCACCAAAAAAAGTTGTTTGTTGCTCAACGAATCATTGAGATTTGATTGGAAAGGTGGTGTGTAGCGCAAATCTCTGTTACAGTATTACCTGCACGGCAACAAAGGCAAGGAAGAGGTTTCTATGCTCGTGGCGGCGAAGACATCGGGGGCCACGCCTCTGGTAATCGCGTGTCGGAACGGCCACTACGACGTCGCCGAGTACCTCATCGAGAGATGCCATGCCGACATCGAGCAGCCTGGTTCAGGTATGGCAACCAAAAGTGGGAAAAAGTGATTGAAATGGTTTTTTAGTGATGTTCGACGGCGAGACCATCGAGGGGGCTCCTCCGTTGTGGTGCGCGGCCGCCGCCGGGCATCTGGACATCGTCAAATTGCTGATATCTCACGGCGCGAAAGTCAACAGCACGACAAGGACCAACTCGACGCCCCTAAGAGCAGCTTGTTTCGACGGCCATTTAGACATTGTCAAGTATTTAGTACAGCACGGGGCCGATATCGAGGTGGCTAACAGACATGGTCACTCCTGTCTGATGATAGCTTGCTACAAGGGCCATATTCAAATCGCCAGATATTTACTTAGTTTAAAGGCTAGTGTTAATAGGAAAAGTGTCAAAGGTAATACGGCGCTTCATGATTGTGCCGAATCGGGGAGTCTCGAAATTCTCAAATTGTTGATTGATAATGGGGCGACGATGGACGTTGACTCTTACGGTACGAATTGGGTAATGGTTTTGGAGTTTTATTGAAGAGATATTTTAGGAATGACGCCGTTGCTGGCAGCTGCAGTTACTGGACATAATCATATTGTAGAATATTTAATTAAACTTCCGCATCTCGTATCGAGGAAAGAAAAAATCGATGCGTTAGAGTTGTTAGGAGCGACGCTTGTTGATAAGAAACGTGATATGGTCGGTGCTTTAGAAGTGTGGAAGCGTGCAATGCACTACAGGTACATAATCACTTAAAAATTGTCATTGATAACGTTATATCACTCAAAGAATATTAATTAAAAGTATACCCAGCGGCGTACTAAGCAGGGTTCCGCGGAAAACGGGCCTGGGCCTCAACGGGGCCTGCATAAGTTATTTCCGTTGTCCAATTGCAAATTTAAGAAAAACCAAAATTATTTTTTTATATCAGGTATTAAAATTAGTCATGATGACCAAAAAATTGTTGTTTGCGTGAACTTGTAAGTATACAAGTATAAAATTAAATTATCCTCCACTTGATGAAGAAAAGTTTGGAGCGTTTCATTTAGAAAAATTGACTTATGAGTATTTGAATTTCTCCAACGTAACGTTTTTGGAGAGTTTGTT